TCATAGCTTATGTGGCCAAAATGTCTCATGCAAATTAATGCATGTGATTGAAGTACAAGAACTGATAACTTCCTATTTTTTCAAGTAATGCTATCAAAATCTCCACTCTACAATTGATGGCACAGCAAAGAAAAGTCTGAGACAGCTGGATCTAGAAATTTTATGGCAAAATACCATTTTATACACCAGGACCTGTCCTTCTTTACATGGTATGTGTTTTAAAGAATGACCAAATGCTTGAAATAGCTCCCTAGTGAATCACAGTGTACAAAAGTGATTCAGAGATGAGTCTCTAAATTTGGCTGGGCCAGAAGTTCATTGTTGCACTGTGCACCCACCCACGTCTTACATTCTCCCAGTACTGCCAAAGGTAAAAACTAGCTTTTAGTAACTTATGCTTAATAATTTCTTCCTCAAGTTCTCATGAGTTTGTGTTCACTTCATGCTAGAGTAACTTCCTTTAGAAGGCACTTCCTACAGAAATGCCTTAAATACCACCATGCCTGAGTTACAAGTCTGAGAAAAAAGCAAGCTAACCCCCCAAATCATTGTCTCTTATAAGCTCAGACACTTGCTACAATTTAGGAGCTAAAACATCCAAGGAGTTCATCCTTACAAAGCACAGTCCATTTTTTCCAAGCACTTTATACACACCCTGGGGCAACTAAGTTAGATCAAGCAATAGCAGCAGACCCTAAATTTCTCTGTAATCGGTGTGTTTACTGTGGGACTGGAGCAGGATGCAGCTTGCTTTCTCAGGTACCCTCACCAACTCCATCTCTCCACCCTAACTGCTACCACAAGAGGATGAAGAATATTAACACCATGAGTTGGACACACCTACTCCTTACAGAAGAACAACAACTGTTATCAGTCACCAATTTACTTTAAGGAACCAAGACCTGAGCAGTTATTCTACTAGTTCTGCTGCTCTATGACACGGAGAAGATAATTTACTTTTCAAGCTTGGAAGAATATGCTTTAAGGTAAAACTGAACACCACTACTCTAAAAAAAAAAAAAGTGGAAAAAAGCAAGGTTGCAAACCTTCTCTTGACACACTGCAGTGGATGTACACTGTGAGAGATTAGTAATCCATGTCTGAGAAAGCTTAAAGCCTGAAGTGTTAGTCAAGCCCACTCTGAAGGGTAGTCTTGATGTCTTAAGGTATTAAGTATAGTAGACCATCTCCCAGGCTTACAGTACTGCTCACACCAAGTGCCCCTCCAGCTGAAGCTGGGGAAATGCAATGCCTTCATGCCCCACTCCCTTCCTCCTCTCTCTGCTCCCCACCCTCAACAGAGTACAGAAACAAAATGCTGCAGAGTCATTAGCAGCTGAGCAACTCCTTTAAAACGAAGTAAAATTCTTGGAAAAAGAAAAATTCTGATTTAATGCCAGAAAACTAGTTCCCGACTAAATTTGTTACCATACGACTATACATCGTCCTTGCCAACCTCAGGCACTCTGAGACATTCGACAACCATAAACCACTAGTAAGTGCAGCAGGCAAGAGCAAAGGGATCAATATTCAGGACCCAAAACCCAAGTGAGTTTTTTCAAAAAAAGGCAGTTTTCTCCACTACCTAAGGGCCATGGCATCACCCCAAAGCACCACCTGCAACACAGCCAATAGCTCCTCACTGGCCAGGCTCTCAGTTTTGCTATTTCTGCAGCTGCACTGATGCCAATAAAGGCTGTAATCATGCTGACTGAAATCCTTCTTTTGAACTGTTGCCATACTCCATTAAATAACTTAAGACCAATATGTTTTTATCAGAGAGCTGATCTTACATTTGATCCTTGTGCAAAATAATCCTGAGGGGCATTGCTTTAGCACAGCCAAAACATCTTTTCTGAAGCGAAGCTCAATCCAGAAAACTAACTTTCCAGAAGCAGTAAGTTACTAAGAGAAAAAGATGATGCTGCATTTAACAGCCTTAGCATCGTGCCAGGATATCAACTGCTTCTCAGATCTCCTCCTGTTAGTTTAGGACTGAAGTGCCATAGGAACACAGCACACAGCTCTGCACTAACAGCTGCAGAAGGAAGCAATTGCATGGGGTGAATTCTGAACTGTCACCTATTCCTTCCCCATTCCACCTTTCCCCAGCCCTAAAATACACTAAAAGACAACCATCATCCTGTAAGTGGGATGCATTTATACAGATCTCCCCCATATATCAAATGGGAAAATAATTATAGAAGGAAAGATTCAGAAAAAAAAAAAAAAAAAAGAAGAGGGAAATGGCTAAAAATTTTGCTGTAGATAAAAGCTTCTCTTTTCAATTGTATTTCAGGTTTGGACTAAGGGTCTTCAGTACTGTTGAGTAAGACTATCTGCTTGATTAGATTCCAAATAACTATTTATATTAAGATGAAGTAAGTATTTGGGAAACCATGCTGGAAAGCTGTTTGAAGTGACACTTCCACCATCTAGGTACAATAAAATCCTGGCAGTCAAGTCAATTACTTATTCTTGCAACTCTACAGTTAACTCTATTAGTGCAAATCTCATCTCTAAGAACTACCAGTATCAATTCTACAAATTTATTTTATGAAAGCTGTGCCCTCCAATTCACACTCTGCTATGGAATCAAAAACATCCCATACCTAAAAACACTAATAGTCAAGTCATTTATCTGACACCTCAGTCATAGAGGGCTGCTGAGACAGGGGTATGTGTTCCCTTTCACTCACAAAAATAGCAGAGCAGCCTACTCTGCCATGCAAGAAAGTGAGAGTTCATGGAAGAAAAGATTTAAAAAATACTTACTCATTCCAGAACTGAATCCACTGAGGCCGTGTCAGAAATAAATCAAACAAAACTGAAGTTCTTAAAAAATCTCATTGCAGTAGCTGAAAAGAAAAATCTGAACAATTCTTTGAAGCAGAAAAACAAAAGCAAAACTAGATACATGCACATGGGAGGAAATAATCACAGAGGTCCTTTCTAGACTTTTCTGTCTCTTTAATATCCCAATCTCCTTACTTCATACATGCTGAGAAACTGCTGTGGAAGCCCTGCATTGAATTAACATTTATTCCACAAATACAGCAGACATGGGAAAGGCATTAAAAAGCAATAGGCACAATCAAATAGATTTCATTATTATTGCCTTACTGCAAAAAAAAAAAAAAAAAATCCATCTTCTTTTGGGGCTTGTAATAGCCTTACTCCTACCCATTCACAATAACAGTGAAACAGTAATCCTTTGGGAACAACAAAAAAAAATAAAAATGAAGCGACAAATACATATTGGAATTACTTGTTCAACATGTATAAAATACTACTAAATGCCTTGAACATTTTTTAGGAGAACAGATGGAATAGTTCAAAAATATGAAATAAAACCAAGCTATACTCAGTATTTTTAACCAAAAGAAGACTTAAAAAAATCTATTGCCTATACACACTCTTACCCACATCACAGTCCCTTCAACTACTTAACAGTTAAAAGTAAAGTCAGATGAAAGCAGAACAGACAAAATATTTTACAAACGTCTCATCTGTTGCAGAGCACCCTTATGTCCCTGTACTCCCAAGGTTTCTCATACAGTGCTGGAATTAGGGTTGCTGTTTTCCTACTAATGCATATATCTTCCACACCCTGAAACAAACTTTGTTAAGGAGACACGAGACTCTAAGTGCTTTTAAGAATAATGAAAGAACATTCTAATAGTGACAATTCTGTTTAGCCTGTGTCAGCTTGTGTGTTCAACAGTATAGCATAGCTTTTGGAACTAATTCAGGTGAACTGTTCAGAATAAACTTCTTTTCCTGGCATGTGTCAGCTCCTAAGAAGTTAATGAGAACACTTCCATACCTGTTGCTGTCCACCTGAAAGGCAGCTGTCAGCTTTTGCAAATACTTCATTAGAAGAAAAAATAAGTGAGAATCTTAGTAACTTGAGCATGGTAAACACATTTTCCCTTCCAACAAATGTGCAGCACAGTAAACACAGCATTACGTGTCACTACGTGACAGAGTGAATTAATAGTTGCAAACAAAACTTTAAAAGTAAGTAAAGCCATTCATATGTTTGAGGAGAAAATATGCATTAAAAAAATAAAATGTGACCTGGAATATAAAAATACATAATTAAAACAGAAGTTGGGGGGGGGAAATCTGCGAAAGAACTCCCCCTGTGTTACAGGATTGTATTTTTGTGAGTTTTTTCCAAGGAAGTTCCTCATAACAATAAACCAACTGTAACTGATCCAGTGGTAGAANCTAAGTCAGCTTAAGAGGTCACAGGCAAATTCTCAGAAAAAGATGATTAACAAAGGCTGCTTTCATTCTGAGGGCTTGAAGATTTTGTTATCTGTAAGGCTTGCCTAAGCACAGGCAAGAGAGAGGCTGTTCCACGCCTGGAAATAAAGTTAAGGGATATCAATCTCCAAATATTAGCCTGAAAAGAAGAAAAGTTGACAGTGTAAAGAGAAATTAAAAGAAAGCAAAGCATTTCCCATCAAAAGCCATTCCTTTTCAAGCCAGCCCATTTTAACACATTTTTGAGGTTACCTCACTTTGATGTATTTGCTTCAGCATAACTTTAAGTACAGAAAAATGCAGAGCATGGAAATAAGCAGACATGCTTATATTCAGTAAACGAAAAATCTCTGAAACCCTCTCCAAGTCCTGTCAGCTGCAAATAAAGTTTCTCTCTGGGAAATGTGATATAAAGCTTCTTCAAAGATCCACAGGTAAAAAGTAAATACTGTTTAGATCATCAAATAGCCTCTATATAAAAACAATACCAAGAATTATCACTCCTGCTGGGGTCGGTCTGAAAATGTAATGCAAGGCTTGGTACACGGGCACCAACACACATAAGAAATAATTTCAGTAGTAAATAAACCAAAACCCTACACTTAGAGAAACTCCCATCTAAATGTATCTACAGATCGTTAGAAAATACTTGTCAGTAAGTCCAGTTTCTGTAAAACAATGGCAAATGCAAAGAAACTATCTAATACAGTCAAGTAACAGCTGTTACATTAATTTAAAATTACCCTTTATTTTTCACAAGTTTTTCCAACATGTTGTGCATTTTGGCACTGTAGACTTTGAGACAGCTTCAAGTTTCTTTAAATTACAAACAGTAGATACAGTAGGAATATTTTAAACCAATTTCTTTAAAATAAATGTCAAGTTAAGACCCTTAGCTTTAAAGAGAGACTGCCACCATTTCATCCTCCTGATACAAAATTCAAGTAATTTTAAGAGTAGAAAATTGTCTCTACAAAACATCCTATTATTACAATTTACCAGCATTCTGAAAATAAACATCAAATTTCCAGTATCAATTGGGTGCAATTACACACTTAGAAAAATAACTCACTTTAAATGAAGGTCACTTGCTGAAGAAAAGTAAGTTTTCAACAGGATGAGTTCTCAAAAACAAATGATAAACCATTTTTTCCCCTGGATAAATGATTTAATCCTTGTTCTACCTCTGCAATTAATTTATTTTTTCTTCTAAAGGCGTACATTTCAGTATTGAAAATGAATTAAGGAAACAGGCTACGGGGATATTTTCCCTTCAGTATATACCGGCATATGCAATTATTGCTTATCCTAAACAACTGTAAACAAGATGCACTTCATTTTGTTTTTATGTTGTGATTTTTCACTGCTTGGTACCAAATATACAGACCACACAAACTTTAGCTGTGTCGCTTTACTGAACGAAAACCACAACAATTTTTTCCGATGATTTTGTATTTAGAGTTGTTTGGGTTTGTTTTTTTCTCAACGAAGAAATGGATTCACTATGCTTTTCCATTTGCCCTCCTTACCTACTCTTTAGGTCAGCAGAATGGAAAAACAAGCAGGACATGTTTATTTGTGACTGAAGGCTCAGAGCAGATATCGAGAAATCTTCAACAATATCAGAACATTTTCTGGTTTTCATTCTTTTTCCCCAAAGTACCTTTGTTGCGTAGGTACAGGAACTTAAAGTTTCTTTTATCACCATCTTCCAGAAGAAATCTATAAATAAATGTTTGTGTAAAGAACACTGCTGTTGAAGAGGGCAAAAAAAAAATAAAATTAAGGATCAATAAATGATACTGCAATGTATCTTGTGCCATTCAAGATAGGAAGTCCTTCGTGTAAATGTGTAAGTCTTCCCGGGTGCATGAAACTCCATCCTTTCCTGGGAGACTCAATGGAGCAGTTGTACCTAATAAATTTACATCCACCTCCCTGTAGTAAAAACACAAACAAAATAAAACCCTAAACATTTATCCTGTGTTTTAGTAAAGTAAGATCATTTTTATATATCCATGACTTCAAATATTTTACTATTATTAACAGGCTGTTAATTTTTTTTCTTTTTCTATCCCAAGGTTATTTAAATGACACCATCTTTAGAGCATTACACAACACACATGCATCTGCAATCAAAGACTTCCCCTTGCTTTGCTTTAGTGTTTGCTGGATAACAACTCATTCAAGCAGCAACTCTGACAAACATCTTCAATAACTTTACTGTAAATTATACAATTTGGGCTCTAGTTTGAAAATAACATTGGGCACTCAAAGGACATTTTTTAAGTTGGTAAGTTGTCAACTCACTTGAAAGTCCTCTCCTACTTTGTTGAGAGCGATGTTGATTGTGAACGTGGAGGAATCATGATGAGGTCTGAGTGACCGTTGTCTGTCAGGGCTGTATTTCACAACAAAATTCAGTAAAGCATACCCCTGAAATAAAACATACAGTCAGACTTCAAGTTGTGAACTGCCAAGTCACATAGAGGACACTTGGGATTTTTTCAAGTTTAGTTAAAACAAACAAACAAACAAACAACATTTGTTTATAACTACTGCTATGCCACGTATAAACTCCCCAACAAAATCAAATAGGATAATTCGATAAAATTCTTAAATTTAGTCATGCCATGGAGTAATTATCTGCAAAAGTTTTAATCCCATACCTTGGTATAATAGCCAGCAAACACTTTCAGCGTTACTGGTGCAATGAACTCCCTTATGAAATGCAGCCATTCATTATCCAGTCCGATTTGCTTCATATGAATATCATCAGTTGGGACATTTTCATAACCTCCAGAAATACGGCTGTCCTAATGAAAACACCACAAACAGCCATGAAATATGAACTTGAAATGTTTCTGGCATTTCTACAAATATTTATTTGAAATCTACAGAATCACAGAACTGCAACAAAGCAATACTTCAGTGAGCATATGTGAGCTTGCTGTATAGCAAATTCCACAGCTAACTGTCATAGAAAAATCCTGAGATATTAATTAGCAAAAGCTGGAAGTTTTTTAAAGGATGAGTAAATATTTGGATGTGTTGCCTGTAAGTAAGAGGGCTTCTTGGGGTAATGGTTTTATTTATTGAGTTGCAGATGGAATTGAAGTTGTATCAGATTAAGAGAGTACAGGCCTCGACATGGCAAAAAACATTGAAATAATTTGAAGATGAAAGTATGGTAAAATCCTTTCTGGAGGCTCCTACCTTCAGTAAAATTGTGACTACAATTATTCTCATTTCCATGGTACCATATTTGTGAATTACACAAATAAAATCCTCTGATTTTAGTGGTAGTTAATAAATACCTTGAAATTTCTGAAAACACGGACACAATACCTCAGAACATCCCCCTTACGGGGATGAATTTGACAAATTAGTACTTAGGTGGTAAATTAGCAAAACTTGTGGAACAGTTATCAACAGCTATCCAAAAATCAGCCTTGGGTAACTGTCAGGTAACTACTACAGAAACTGCACTACTGTTAGTGTCTAATTTGCTAATTCAAAGCTTGCATTGGGTTTACGAGCCAGTTTTGGTAGTGGGGGGGGCTACAGGGGTGGCCTTTGTCAGAAACTGCTGGAAGCTTCCCTTACATCTGAGAGGGCCAATGTCAGCTGCCTCCAAGACAGACCCACAGCAGGTCAAGGACAAGCCCAATGGTGTCAGAGACAGCACCTCTGTGATGGCCACGTCTTTAAGAAAGGGGGAAAAAAAAACTAGTGCAACAGAAATTGCAGCTGGAGAAGGGAGTGAGAATATGTGAGAGAAACAGCCCTACAGACAGCAGGGTCAGTGCAGAAGGAGGGGGAGGAGGTGCTCCAGGCGCTGGAGCAGAGATTTCCCTGCAGCCTGTGGTGCAGACCATGGTGAGGCAGCTGTGCCTGTGTAGCCCACAGAGGTCCAAGGTGGAGCAGAGATCCACCTGCAGCCCCTGGAGGACCCCACGTCAGATCAGGTGGATGCCCAAGGAAAGCTTTGACCCCGTGGGAAGCCTGAGCTGGAGCAGGGTTCTAGCAGGATCAGTGATGCTACAGGGATCCCACACTGGAGCAGACTGTTCCTGAAGTGCTGCACCCCATGGAAAGGACCCACACTGGAGCAGAGGAAGTGTGCAAGTCCTCCCCCTGAGGAGGAAGGAGTGGCAGGAGACAATGTGTGATGATCACAATCTTCCATTTTCCCATCCACATGAGTTGCTGAGGAGGAGGAGGTAGAGAAAATGAGGACTAAATTTAAGCCTGAGAGGGAGGAGTGGGGAGAAGGTGTTTTTAAGATGTGGTTTCATCGCTCATCATATTATCAATCAAATCAGAGTAGGAAGGAAACTAATCTCCTGAAGTTGAGTGTGTTCTGCCTGTGATGGCAGTTGATGAGTGATCTCTCCCTGTCCTTAACTCATGAGCCTTTTGCTGTATTTTCTCTCCCCTGTTCAGCTGAGGAGGGCAGTGATAGAGTGGCTTTGGTGGATGCCTGGTGTCCAGCCAGGGTCAACCCACCACTGGGTTAATTGAAGAATGCCTCTAAATCTACTGAACAAGAAGCTATGTGCTAGACAAAACTAAGCATTTTACACCACAAAGCAGAGGTTTCAGGTCATTGGCAATTGTTGGGATATTTTTTGTTGCAGTACACTGTGACTCACTATTGTAAAGGTACTCACCCATTAAGGTCATGTTTATATAGGCTGACACTTACCTGGTGTTTTCCACCAGACCATTGTCCAAAATGTTCCATTTCTTCTACCAGTTCGTCACAGGCAGCGTCAGAAAATATGGGAAACCAAAAGACATCTGGACATGGCTATAAACAAAATAAAATTTAAAAACTTGATCCCCAAGTACATTCTCACAAAAGCAGAAAGTACGAGCTACCTTGTAAGCCATGACCCAGCATTAACAGGTGTGTCAGTGTACCCACACATTCTGTGCCTTATGGTTCTAAATAACAACCCTGATCTTCTGCATTACAAGCTATTATGAGGAACAGTTTAAAACTTAACATTGTTTTAAACACAAAACCAATTTATCACAGCTTCTTAAGAAGGCAAAGTTCATTAAGTCACTGTCCCTAATTGTCACAGAATTCATCATTCAACACAAGGGCTCTGTCCAGATCAGCTGCATGAAAGCAAGAAGCCTGGATCAAATGGACCGTCATGCCAAACATTCAGTTCTGATCCAAAACATAAAAAAAAAAATTTCAATCATAGACTAAAAGAGCATTTGTGTGGAAACAGTTACTGTATGCCAATAACTGACCAGTTAGTCAGTTCCACAAATTTTTAGAAAACTACTTATACCCACCTGTTCTACTATATTATCAGTGAAGATCTTTGAGTAGTTTGGATTTATATAAGTCTCCTTCCAGTCCTAAAAAAAACCATGATTTTAAAACATTACAACAAAACAAATAAATTTAAGTGACAAAAAATCTATTAATTTGCTCTATCGAAAGCATTGAAACAATTAAACAATTTCTTATACCCATAAAAAAATTGGTTCTTATGTCAAAACTCATGAAACCTGTTACATCAGGGCCATATCTCCAACTCCTTACTCTCATCATCAGTTAGCTTATTGCTATATTGTTTGCTTAGATGGGTTAGAGAGAACACCTTTCAGTACATAATCAATATTATGCATAGCAGACAAATGTTCTCCATGTAAAGTCCTTAAAACCTAAGCCCTTTATAATATATAAACTTTACTTTTTTCTTAATAAAATAACTCTTCCATCAATAATTAGATGCATACCACAGGATTTTCAAATATCTGCCAGAGGTCATTGTTGTAGTGGGAAGTATTGTAATTGGCTGTAGAAAGAAGTCTTCCAAATTCATGTCTGTTGGTAATGTACATGAAAACACCCTATACCAAGTAGAGAAAGCATCATTAGCAAAACTGTCCATCTGAGCAAATACCAAGTTTTAAAAAGGTCTGTTTATGACTGCACTTCCATAAAATATATCACACACTTGGACACACATTATTATACATGTGCTGATCATTTAGCATCCTAATTTTCAAACGTTTGACTCCAATCACCAGCTACTGTTCATAATATTTTCTTTACAAGCATTTGGTTGTATTATTTTCTAAACACGTTAAACTGAAACATATATTGTTGAGAACATAAAACCATGTACAGTTATAGAAAGGAAAAAACAGAGAAGCAACTGGTTGATTTGTTTCCCAGAAAACCTAAGCAGACACACTGGAAGCATCTTTTCTCAAACTGAAAATGCTCACACATGAAAACCAACATCTAGGGTTTAGTTTCCAATTAAAAACTGAAAGAATAAGCTAACAATCACAGGGCTCTTGAAAGTCAGAACAAGAAACTTATTTCAGAGTATTCACTACGTAATCCGTCTGGTGAATTGGCCTGAAATAAAAAGATATTGGCAAATACAGCATACAACAATATTCAGATCAGCATACAAAATAGCTGAGCACTCTGAAGTCTGGTCATGTAATTATGTGCAAGATATGAAGTGTGGTAAGATACAGCTTTATTATCAAGCTATTAACAGAAGATATTAAGAGAACTCTCTTGATTAGAAATAGTAGTAGAAAATAGTATTTTTAAAAAGAAACTTAGGTTCTGTGGGACTTTTTTAGTTTACAGTTTTTCAGACTAAAACTTCATTTCTGAAATGTTTGTGACTTTTGGATTTGCAGCGGATAAAGACAACATCATTTGGGCATTTTGGTACTTCTGTCTAAGTTTTTGTCTGAAAAAGAGTTAAACTGTTAGAAAGATAATGATTATGTTAAACATGCCCAGAATCATTGGGCGCTTACCAAATCATGAAATAGCTGCAGCAAGGAGAATAAGGAGGGCCTGGGTCAAGAAATACAGCTTAAACTGACATTGTGGTCACTGAGGGGGCCTGGCAGACCTGGGTGATTAGAGCTTTACTCCTTCCTAAGACTGCTGAATCAATTTTAGCTACAAAGGCACAGTGTCAGCATACCTTGATCTCGGAAGCACTAAGAAACCTCCCTGGGGAAACAATGAGCCTCTCTAAGATACTTTGAGCTGGTCATGAAGAACCTGTCCCTGGCAAAAACTTGAACCTCAGAAGACTGAAGAGAAAGCTAGAGCAGTATTTCATTAGAGTGAGTGGACAGAAGAGAAGTTATCTTCCTGTGGTAGAATAATACTGCATGTAATAATAACTCATCAATAAAAAAAATAAAGCAAAACCTTTGGGGGTCTGAGCATATGGAATGTTTCCGAAGAAGGGGAGTCTTTTTCCCTTTGTAAAGTCTAAAATGAAGGAGAATCATCACATCAGTTTTCTGATACATAATCTCTCTTTTTCTGACTACGAATAGGTTTCCACAGTTACATCAGGTAAATAGCAGCCTTTGCTTTATAGCTGATATGCCTTTACAGACAACATGCATCTCCAAGCAAAGCTCTTAATACACATGTCCAAGCTGTTTCCACCAGCCCCTTCTTATCTGCTGCCAATACAAAAACAAGCACATACCAAACCATCCTACAGCCCAGACTGAGAAGGGGGAAAAGAGAAAGCAATTTTCTGAGGAGCCAGTCAGATTAGTTTAATGAGCACATGGAAAGCACAAGTTGGCAATAACTGATGCTGAGAAGGTTTGGACACAACAGGATTGGACAGGAACGTTCTGAGGAATCAGTACAAACAAAGGAGATCATGCCTTGTTATGAGGGAATAAAAAAATCAATACTTGCCAACTTTTCTTGTTCAATTCAGCAAAATTATTTTTCAATGCTATAGTGTCTGGAAATAGGTCTGGTTTAGGTCTTATTTGTTTCTGTGCTGAAACTAGTGTAAATATCAGTAGAAATGTGGATTTACATATTCATAACTTTACAGTACAAATACATTTTCTCTCAGTACTTACAGCTTAATGCAAGTAACACATTTCTGATACAGTTTTTATCTATCTAGAAAACTTAATGAGTAATTCACGCTCCTTAAGAAGATTCCAACCATTTGATAAATGATTTAGGCTTCTCATATAACACAGCTCACCATTATTTTAAATATATACCTACTTAGATTAAAAAATTGCAAAATATTCCAACTTAGTCTGCTACAAGTTCCACACTGTATAAAAATGTGCATAAAAGAGGTGGTCCAAATGCATTGGTAAGTTTTAAATAAAACACAGCAGAGAAGTTGAGCCCTCTTTCATCTGTTGAGGTTGCGCCAATGAGAAAGGTATTTTAACCTCAATAGAAATTTCCAGGGAATTTAACTAGAAACCATCATGCAGTCAGTGCACCAGTGCACCGGCTTTGCAAAAACCTCTGTTCTCAACAATTTTAAGAAATAAACCTAGTGTTCTATCTCACAAAAATTGGCCAGTACTTTAAATTAGAATTAAAATATAATATCCAAGATCAATCAAGTAAAGCAGCAAAGTATAGCAGGACACAAAGACATGAGTGTATTTGAAAGCAAGCTGTTATAGATACACCTTACCATTTCCCTGGCATTCCTGCAGAGTGCCATATCAGGATCCAACTTATCACGCATGAAGTAGTTCTTTTCTTTCATCTCTGATCTGAGAGTTTGTCCCTTAATTAAGTATATATTAGCCATGTAAGGGATATTCCATACTCCTCTGTTGAAAAAAAACCAAAAACAAACCCAACACATACAAATAGTTTAAAGCTATGAAAACTAATTTGTTGCCTATTCTATTAAATCAGGATCTCTATATCTGCTGACAAGAGTAAGCAATTTGGAAGAAGAAGCTGAAAGGTTCCCAAGACATTTGAAAAACTACATCTGGACATCTCAAACATAGGCGTAGGCAGTAATTCAATTTTTATGAAGTATTGTTATAAAAATATAGAGAGGTCAAATTCTCTATGGAGTTTTAACTAGAAATTTACTTCATATTTCTATAGTTAAAGCAATCAGTCAAACTCTCTTAAAATATTATTCTACACTGCCAGATGGAAAAAGTAATTCCAAAACAGATTTTTAAATGAGTTTAAAGACTTCACTGAGACTTCACACAGCTGGTCTGACCTCCTCACACAAATACCCATGGACCACAGCAGGCTGTGTATTTATGTGAGTTGGGCCAATATCAACACAAAAGCATTGCTTTCAGAATGCTCACTCTGCAGATTTCCTCCCTCTCAGCACCACGAGTACATCTTTCAGTACAACTGAAAACAAGCAGTCAATCTGTTTCTGACCTTTCTGTTCTTCCACAGCAATGAAAAGGCATCACCACATGGGAAAGTCAAGCTTGGAACAACTTACATCACGTTCATTAGGGGAAGGATAAACCCAAAAGTTTATCCTTGAGAAAAGTATTGCTGAAGAGCTCCTTAAGATATATCTGACAACATATGCAGGATAAAAAACATAATGAAATTACAGTTGTCCCACTGGTTAAGCATTTGTCCCAAAGAGATGACAAAGTCATTTGATGAATGCAACAATCGTTCCTTTTGTCTGAGGTTCCAGGAACAAGGTTTTGGGGTTGCTATTTGTTTGTCCTGCCTTTTCCTGTATTATGCACTGCTAGAGTAATCAGGCACAAACAGACCAGTGCTAGTAATGAATGGGAAGTAACAAGCTTATTTCTATGAAATTGAAAATGCAAAACAATATAACTAACCTAAGGTCTTCAGGAATTTTACTATACTCTTACATTTTCATGCAATACGTTGTTAATAAGCATATTGGGTGCCTTGACTTTAACAATTAGCTTACAACTACTTACACTCTGTTCCCTTGGACAATATCGACATAATCTTCTGATCGGGCATAGTAGCCATCTGGGCTCAAAGCACCCCAGAAATTGGACCAAAGCTTCCCGTGACGAGTTACGAGCGGAGCAATTATCTTTCTGTGAAATGACATATTTGAATAAGAAAATATCAAACTCTGAAGCATTTGAAATTCACATCAGGAATTGCTGCTTGACAGGTACAAAATGCTTTGTGAATTGTTGGTCTCCAAGCCTGTTATGAAATATGGCAGTGAAATACCACAGGTAAACAAAGAGGATCTAACTCTATGAGAACAGAGGGGATCTTATTTTCTCTGGATGGGCCCCAGAGAATCCTTTCAACCTAAAGGAAATTCTACAAAATAAGAGATATACTACACCTGTTCTGTTCTATCAGTATTCTTAAAGTTTTTGGGTTTGTCAGCACAACATCTGCATCTATGTTTAAGTAATATTCACATGCTTTATCCTGGCGACAAAGGTCCCTAAAAAGACAAAAAAAGAATTATTAACTCCCATATGTCCAGGAAAAAAAAATCACAAACAATAAAACAAACAAACAGATAAAAAACCCCAAACCACAACTAAGTACTCTACTAATTCATTGCATTAAAAGTCCTCTGCAGCACAGTATTGTAAAGAAAGGTGTGTTTGGATTACAGTAGAGTGATTAACTAAAAGAAAATTTAAATACATGGATCAGATGCCTTATATTTTTCTTTTAATAAACTAAGTGACCTCTAACCTTTACCAAGTTCAGTAATACCTACTATACAGTTTCCTAATGGAAAATAAGGTGGGAGAATCATGCCACTAATTTATATAGCTGGATATCGGTACAGTCACTTCATAGTGAAATAGTGAAGTAAGAGTAAGCTCCTCTAGCAAGACTCCATGTGGTTGTAATATTATCTTTGGAAAAAGATTCCACGGATGTGATCTGATGATCTGAATAGTAATTGAAACCTTATGGAAGGTGTAAGACAAAAAGTATAAAGAAATATACATTTAAAGACCTTTTCTTTGTCTTTTTTGTGACTTACAAGAACAACAGGGTTGGTAAAGAGAAATATAGACAAACTGCACAGGCAGTGAATGGAAATTAGAAAAAGTAATTGAATTTGTCCACACACTATTTCTGTGTTACCATTTTGATCTCAGAAGAATAAACTATCTGTGCAGATTCCCAGGCCTTCAAGAGAAAGCTGCCACCAAGCAAAAAACACATTCTACTGTAAAAATAAAGGATACACGGACCACGTTTGTGTGTTTCTGTCAGGGTGCACTTGCTAGGCTATACCTGCTAGAGTGAATTTAGCTTTCCTATGCCATCAGAACAGCAGGAGATTACAGCAAATCAAATATACTTTTAGAGGAAGTGCAACAATTTCCTCAAGTCAATACTACAGCAGTAGCTTCCTATCATGCAGGTGGTGGCATTGATTTTGTGTATTTTTTCCCTATTTTAATTCCATCGTAACAGCTTGAAACACTAAAATTATTTTACTTTCTTGTTTTAAAACATCTATAAATACTGATTTAGTTTAAGTTCCACTTGATTTGATTGATTGTGACTGTTTTCTGCAAAGGAAAAGATCTCTGTCACTTCAGAAGATCTTATAAACACTGGATGTGACAGGTTACATACAAGTCAAGAAAACGGCTGGCATGGCTTCCTGCCTACTTTTCTTCCCTTCCACTACCTAGCACTAAATGTTCCATAAGAACTACTACTTATCAACATCTTATAGGTCTTTTTGTTCAAACTTTCTTCTGCACAAAGGACTGAAGAGGTGTAACTTGGTTGGAATCATAAAAGGTACAGCTTTTTTATTCCATAAATTTAAGACATTCTTCCTCTTCGAGTCTGATCACTAAAGATGTGATAATTGATCTGAGATAAATTTTTAAGATACTCAAATATCAGAAGTGGTCTCCCCACTACTACTAAGATCACTGTGTTTGGACAACACCCTCAGTTTAAATCTTTGGTCTGTCCTTTGAGGCAAAACTAGAGACTTTCTTCTATCTTATGCATATATTTTTATGACAGAAATTCCTTAATCAGCACTTTCACACATAATTGCCCCAGCTGAAACTACCAGGTTTTATTTTGGCCATAACATGGTCCTACAATTCAGTCTTTATGACATTTTCCATTACTAATCTATTCTGTTCAAAGCTTTATAACTACTGAATGCAATTCACATGTAGCTTTATCATTAGCTTAATTACAATTACTAATAGTAACCTGACTTTTATATTGCACTTGGCATTGGATGTTAATTTTCTTCCAAAAACATTCAGCTCCTTTGTCATTATTCTAATGAGGAAAATAAACCCAAGAGACCAACAGACTTGATGCCAGTCCAGGGTTCCAGCCACAACACTGGCCAGCACGTCCCCAAAAAGCAGGTGAACTGTTTGCTGCTAAGAAAAATATGAGTGAAATTAATGTTTTTAATTACAAACATGTGATAAAGTGGAACAGCTTTATAGTTAGTTGTAGATAAACATAACTGGAAAATTAATTGCATAATAGCGAAATGAAATGTCCTTCAACTTTTGCCTTCTTATGTTTTGCGTCCCCATTCCCTTCAAATCCAGAACCAGAGAATTCTATTACAATTGGTCCCATGTGCTTAGTGTTAGAAATCCTCCTGTTCTTCATTCACACAGTCATCCAAACCACAGAATACTAAAAAGCTTTGGTCTAAGTCACATTCATTCATTCAGTAATCTACTGAAAACTCCTTGAAAGCATTACTGTCTTAAATAGTCCAAAAATGTCAAAGTTACCATTCTGACTAATTTTTTCCTCCTTTTTCTTTCTCTACAATGTTGAAGACTGGATCACCAAATGGTAAAACTTATTCTTCACATTTGATATGATGACTTGTATCTGAAAATGCTAGGAGAATTATGCTTTAAAACACCAAGCTTTGCCATTTGGTGACCCTTTGTGCTTTAAGATCACTAACAAAAATCTCCCTAAAACACTACAGGTTTCACATAGAGATAGAAAGACAGTGATAAAAGTTTCAGTCAACATTAATAAAGCACACATACTCTCAAGAAATTCATGCATCTTCTCTTTAGGCTTTCAGTGCTGCCAAGTAGCTTTCTCAAGGAGATAAATGTAATCCTGAATATTCTCATGTTTTAAAGTATTACATTCTTACAGTATATGTTAATCTCTCCAGATGCAGAAATTCCAGATCACATGTAAAACTATTTGTCATGTATATCCAGGTCACTGCAAGGAACAAGTGGAAAGTGCTTTCTAGCAATGCTCTTATGTATTGTAATATACTTTCTTACCTAAATGCAATGGCTAAAACCTTCAAACTACTTGCTTTACACTCCACCTGCTCTAAACCAAGACCAAATGTTGAAAAGAAAGCTGTATTCTTGTACATAGAGTAATTTCAGTGTAGTGATTAACAAAAATTCAGAAGGTGGCCAAGATTTTTTTGTTGGAAGTGTAAAATGAAGCTCAGCAGATCAGTTTGAAGTATTTTGCAATCAGAGTGATGTTTGACTTCGTTTACAAACCACAAACCCATCTGGAACAGTGACCTCATCTGAAAATGGGAAAGTGTCACTGCTCTCTTCCTCATACTTTCCACTGAGATATTCCAAAGAATTAGCTGTTTATAAGAGTTAGACATATTGTCTACCCAATTTCTTTGCCATTGAGCCACCTTCTTTTTTGACATAGTTTGAACTTGCAATTAATCAAGTTACTGTTTTTACAGCCCTCAGTTTGAAAATACAATTCCAAATGTGGACTGCAAGCCCAAAGTGAGAAGCACTTAAACCATCTGACAGATCTCTGAAAGAAAAGGTGTTCCAGATATAAGACTTCAACACGCACCGAAAGACAGGGTGTCATCACCTGCCATTTAGAGTTACATTTTGCATCTCTCCAGGCAGCCACGATAGCATAAAGAAACTCTTATCAACCATCACTAAAAACAAACAAATGTAGCCAGAAAACATCACTAATGTTTAGTTTTGCCTCTCATGTTTAAGTATTGTTACCACAGTCCACCACACCTGGAAGCTACTGAAATCAGGAACAGGTGGAAAAGTTGTTTTTCTGCAACACTCAAAATTCAAAATGCTGACGTGTTTTGGAGAAGCAGCTCCAGAAAATCCAAGTCTCTAATGGAAAACACATGACATCTAGGAGAAAAAGATTTAATCCCCCCTGCTCTTACTTCAACCACAGCCAAGACACTTGCCCTACTCAAAGGGCTGAAAGAGGGTCCTCCTGTGTCCATGCCATTGTTTATCAACACCAAATGGGAGCTCGGAGACAATGATTTAATATCCTCCTTCAAGAAACACACAGGAAATCCCAAATTTAGCTCAAAATTCAACGGTGTTGTCAACAAACTCTAACTGATTCTGATCCACTCTTCCTGAAACTTTGGAAAGCTTTCAGTGTAAACTTTCATTAAAATGTGCACTTTACCACTAAAAGTTGAGGTAAAAGAAATTTTTTTTAAAAGTTAAGGAAAAACTGCATGCAGTTCTGTTATTAATGTTTTTGAGGGAGGAGAAAAAAAAGAATCAACCCCCCCAAAAAAAACCCTGAAGACTAAGTACTGGCGGAAAAAATATCATGCAAAATAAAAAGCTTTTTATAAATAAAGCCTCAGAAATGCATGAGAAAAATTCCCATATTTCCTTTCTGTTATTGCTTGAACATATTTAATTACTATTTTATGTTTTCTGACATAACAAATTCTGTAACAGCTGGCTGAAATCTCATCTGCAACCAAGGCAAAAATCACAGATTTTTTTCTTAAAAAAAAAAAGAAAAAACTGTAAGAACTATACCTTATAGACAAAGGCTAAAAAAAAAAAAAAAAAAAAGAAAGAAAGACACGGAAATCAAGTGATGTACATTCAGGGAACATATTAAGAAAACGTGCAGCTGAACCTTCCTTCTCTTTATTCTACTTGGTTCTCTTTCCATTTTGATTCAGCCCACAACAAGGAAAGCTGTGCACTCCTGTTCCCCAGTATTGTTGAATTCTAACAAGTTTTTGCAGATTGCACAATTTTTGGTCCCTACTGAACTTTCACAAGCGCAGGAGAGGGCTTTCCATGTCAAGAAGAAGCAAGAAAGTGAATGATTCAATTATTCTTTATTATGTGAATGAGAAAATTAGATCAACTGCATTAAATACTCAAAGTATTCTGCTGAAAAACTAGTCCTTCAATGCTTAAGTTGCCCCTCTCTGTATTTATTGAATCCTGTTTTGCTTCTTCAAATAAATAGACTCTGTGTGAAATATGCAAGTGAGGAGAACAAATTAATTCTAAGTCTACCAGAAATTAACAGAGATACTAAAACCAGTTAATTTGGAAAAGGAGAGAAAGCAAGTGTTTAAGGCAGATGGAACAAAACTATCAGTCAATAATGCAGATAGAGGCAGGAGAAAATTAATCAGAAGACTAAATATATCAATCTCTGTAAATCAAAACAATAAACAACTTTGAAGAATTACTCTTTTCAAGTTATTCCCATTGCAGTATTAGTGAGAAATAAATGAGGTTATGATGCTCAAAGCCAGATGAAGGGTTGAAAAGCAAATAATTTATGAGAGTAACTGCCCTTGCCTTGAACATCCTGTACTTCCAAATTAGACTTTTTAAAGAAATGTAAAATGTGTTTGTTCCAGTGAAGTTGGTGAGGTTCACAAGGGCAGCCAAGCAGACCAGGTGTGCAAAGCAAGCAGCAGATTAACTGAATCTGCTTCAGACAAATTGAAAGGAGCCATGAATTATATCTACATTGTCCACATGAAAGATCCTAGTACTAATACTCAGTCTTTTCGGATGATTCAGTGTTTTGCCATTGTCTCATTCCACACACATTATACTTCATGTTTTCTCTATATACGATGTATCTCTTTAGGACAGACCCTTTATTAGAGGGGCCTTTCAAAACGGGAGCAACATGGGTCAAATTACATCCACACGGGGATAACACATCACATGATTACCTCTCCCTGCCTTTCAAACAGAATTTAAAATAATTTTGTGTAAATATTACAGAATCACAGAATCAACTCGGTTGGAAAAGACTAAACAAATAAAAGACCTCTGAGATCGTTGAGTTCAACTTAAATGGATAGCATTTTTATTTATTTAGCATGCTAAATATGCACTTAAATTACTATTTTTTTATCCATAGATCAATCAAAGACCATATATCAAAAGCTCTTTCACATAAGTAGGTATATTCTATCAAAAGACGACAGGTTTAAAGATCTTTGGGTGAGATTTAGTAACACTGAAGTTACACTGAAGATTCTCTTTTATGCTGTCTATATAGCAACAAAGAGGCAAAGGCAACTCCAGAATCTCCACCTCATATGTTACACATAACATACACTAAAAAGAGTTTGCAAACATGGCACATTTGCTTTAGAGACTATTAGAAATAAAGAAAAGAATTATTTATAAACAAGTGAATGGTTGCACAGACTAACACTGGACATCTGCGGCATTCCTAGAAAGGCAAGGGGAGAGGCTTGGATCTCAGCCACAGATCAGTTTCCAAGTGGCTTCAGCACAACAAAATGCCATTTAAACAACTTTCCAAGAACACCACAGAAACTCAAGACTAGACCTTCATTCTTTCAGTTGATGCTATGAACAGCCTGTGCTTTGCTCTTAAGTTCTGAACAGAAAATGGCCTTTTCAAACTAACTTCTCTGCTCATGGAAGATTTGGTAGAAGAGAGAGCGAAAGAACTATCAGAGAATGAAGGGGCCACCTGGGACTCTGATCTTGGTGGGATCCTGGTCTGTAAAACTCTATACTATGACTGATGTCCTGGAAGAGCCACGAGCAACTCTGTGATAGCAGCCAGTGCTGAAGCCAGTAAAGAAACCTTTGGACAGGGAGACCTGATGTGGGATACAAACTCCGAGGTTCAGATTTAGGCCTGGCAAGTGCCAGGTTTAAAAACTAAAGTTTTGGATACTCTAGTAAGAAGAAAAGAAAAAAAAAAAACCAACAACAACAACAACAACAACAAAAAAAAAAAGAAAAAAAAAGAAAAAAAAAGGCAAGACAAAGCATAAGACAAAGTCAGTTGCCTTTGCAAGTCTCGGTTTTGGTTTGTTTTTTTTCTTTTTTTCCCCAATGGAAGCAGAAGCTAGATCACTTAAAAAAATATTCCTGCCTCTTTGAACCACAGGAAGAAATATAATTCCATCACCTGTACACCCAGATCAAGCCTTAACGGTATATTTATTTAAATATAATGTCACTTGAGGAAAAGAGTAGGGACTAAAACAACCAAAGTGCAATTGTTAAAAACATATCCAATGCAACAGGTACTTCTATTGCATAAAAAGTTAGCTTAAAAATGTTTTGAATAAAAAAAAAATAAAACAAATACTATTGTTATGCATTGTCTATGCCTCCATCAGAAGATGAGGCTATTAGGTAGTCCAAAGCAGAAGGATGTTTTCACAATCACTAAAAGCTTCTTATATTAGACAAAACCATAAAACACTCAACAGTTCATATCTTATGTCTAGATCTTTTCTACCCAAAAAAGCTCCCACTTTCATATCTGAATATATAAAGTTGTTAATGGTTAAGATGCAAAATAACATACATGCAAAACTAAAACATGCTAGTGGTATGCATCAGTAGAACATATTTATAAATTACAACTTACATTCCCATGTTTCGGGCTTCTGCTTGACTCAGATTTTCTTCAGGTCCAACAATTTTTATATTTTTGATAATATTCTTGGCTTTTTCCCAGAATTTCTTGATATGCTTTTCATGGTAAACCTCCTGCAATCATGTTAACATTGTTTATAGCAGATGTAAAGTACACTGCTATGAAATCATAAACATAAGTGTCCAAGAACACATTGTATTCTTCCCGAAAGAAACAGATGCCAAACATTTAAAATAAAGTTCTTCTGTCCAAAATTTTAACAAAATAATCCAGAACATCAGCAATTTTAATCAAAGTTGTACAAGGATGCAAGACTCACAGATTGTTTATGCAATATTTTTCAGGAGATTTATGTTACAATCTTTAAAACCCATCCTACAACCTCACGCAGGAGTTTTTCATGCAACTCTAAATCCCTTTAGAGAGGGAGCTGCCACCTGTATCAAAGTGTGCAGGCACAGTCATTGTTTCTTTAAAATGCAGTCACACCGATTGTTTCTTTAATTTCTATCTACCCTACCTCTATTTACAAGAGCTCAGCTGCATTCACTGCTTCCAAACCAGTGTCTTCAGTGTAGCTTCTGCCTATTATGCCTGACTTTAGAATAATTAAAATATTGGGTAGGGGTTTTCCTCCCACTCTAATAAAAAGCTATTCAGTCTTTATATTCATTTCAAATACCATAATATGACTTCTGGCTGAAGCAACAAAATAGCCTACAATTCCTATGTGCATATCACATTTATACCTTTAACATCCCCTTAGGAAAGCACATTGAAGGCTTTAAAGATAAGCTCTACTTCTGTTACTTATCCCTTTCATGCTGTCATATCAACAGTAATGTACACACAGTGAGAAAGGGTACAATTAAGTTTTATTCCCATTTCTCTTCCAGCCCAGTTTCTTCCAAAAGAATCGTACACATTTGACACCTCGCTCACTAAAATCACAGAATCACAGAATGGTTTGGGTTGAACAGGACCTTAAGGATCATCTTCTTCCAACCCCACACCTTCCATTAGACCAGGCTGCTCAAAATAGCAAAACTTGACTGAAGGCCCTGGTGAAGGATCAGCAACACCAGATCATTAGGTAATTAGTAAAAAGTATTCGAAAGCAACTTCTCTGTAGTACCAATCAGACTATATCTGAACACATCAGTCTTTCCCATGGGTCCCAGCAGGAATGCCAAGAGAAACACAAATGCATTGGAGTATCAAGATGAAAAGCAAAACCTATGTCAATTATTAGATGACAATTATTAAGAACATTTGGCCAGTCCTGAAGTGGTCAGGCAGTTGGCCTAGATGATCGCTGTAGGTGCCTTCCAACTGGAACTATTCTATTTTTACTCTCTTCTCTTGTTTTACGTCAAGCAGTACCTTCCCCAGAAGCACACACTTCAAAATGCATTCTTTTTCATTACTAAATGAATCTAAGCAGTTTCTTTAAAAAGACTTCAGTAAGCCCTGCCACAATTTCATTTAATTTGTGCATTTTTCACAGTTCAGCATATTAAACTCTGAAAAATTATCTCTTCCTATGAATTTTAACTGTGTTCCTGTATAGAATCCATATACTCCCTCATGCACTTTAATTCATCACATAATTTCCAAAATTGAAGTTTTGCACAATAGCAACATCATACTTACATTATTATGAACGAAGATACTGAGTGCCTCCCGTGGGTAGTCCAGAGTCAACAGTCTGTCTAAAAATTTAGGTAGGAAAGGAGTTGGTTGTTCAATGAAAACACCAATTTTTACTCTTGGATATTCCTAAAAAAAATGATATTTTGACATAACCAATAAGATTTGCCTCCTTTCTAAGACTAGTTATATTAAAGAGCAACTAATGTCACGTTGTAGTAAATTTAGTCCACACAGCTTTCAAGCAATCAAAACCAACTAGCTCAAAAGTGCTATGTGCCCTGTTTATTTTCACTGGCTTCACAAAAAAGCAAAGATAATGGATTTAATATTGCTGGAAAATTCTGTGAATTCAATAACAAACTGGAAGCAGAAAATAATGTATTATTGTTTTTAAAATTCTTACTTTAAAAGAATACTAAAACACCAAAAGAAGCATTTAAGCATTTAATGCTTAAGCATTAAGCATTAATTAAGCATTTAATTAAGCATTTAGAATGGTACAGCAAACTCATTTTTTGAAAATAACACACATACATACATAAGTTACATTTACAAGAAAATATAAGGAAGACTAGATTTTAAAAATAGTTAAAGAATAAATACCACAAAATATTTTAGTCATTTGTACTTTAAGATGAAAACTGCAGTACCCTTCTATAAACGTATATGCACTATTCCTCCCTGATCATTTCAAGCGGGCTTTGCATTACTTCCCCACCCACTGATTTTAGGAAGATCTTTGATAATCTAATCAGAGATTCTCTCCTCACATCCAAAGATATTGAACTTTTATCCACCTTATTTTAATGTGAATTCACATCTTTTGAACAGTGGTATTAATTCCTGGTGTGGAATTCCTGTGCTTGATAGAGATCATAACCACTAAAACAAACACTGACAGCACCTTTGTGCTTTGTGTATTCCTAAAGTATAGCATTACATTATGCAAGACAAAGAAATTTAACTTTCAGAGGCCTCAACTCCTACACAAAGAAATACATTGATTTAACAAAAATTATTTCCATCTCAAACCCAGACAATTATTACAAACGTCTAATCCACTACAAGGCTCAGAGAGAAACCTTATATGAGTATAAAAGTCTGCCAGTTAGCTTTCCCTAGCTTTCCAACACCCACTTGAAGAGTGTCTGGATAAACCATCAACACATGCTGAGATTTTAGTGTCACTGTCTACATCGGAAATCCAGAAACACCCTGGCAAAGGCACCAGATCGGAAACATTAGGCACCAGTGTTTACCCTGACTACCTCCTATTCACAGCTTCATCTGCAAACCTAATAAGCACTCACAGGGAGATCCTAATATCTTCAAAATAACTGATGAAGACATATGTGTCTCAAAAAAGGCACCTGAGGGTGGTGTCACAGGAACTGGTACCACTGATGGCCAGGAAAGCCATCGGACCAAGCTGAGCACACACATGTGCTGCCAACGCTAGAACTGCTGCAGTAACTGTATTTTGTCATTCTCCCCTTATTCTCTGGGACAAAGGGAAATAGGTTCAGGCTGGACCTGCAAAGGTTATACAGAGAAGGAGGAATTACTGAGACTGCTTCAGTACACTGAAGTGTGAACTACTTGGCTCTGCACTAAAATCTGTGACAAAAGCAAAATAGTGTTTAAAAAATTAAGAGTAAAAATTCCTGTAAACTGCATCTTCTCAAAGTAGAGTTCATCAATGTAGACCTTGGTTTACCAAAGAGTTGTCACTGCATAATCTGAGTCTACATTACAAGTATTTTGAGTATATTAAGTCAGAGGTTTTGGTTCTTCCCAGTTGTGCCTGAGCAAAAACACATTGGAAACACACAGTCTGCACCAGGATGTTACATTTACTCTGAGGTCACATATTTTTACTTTTTCACAAGCAGTAGTTGAGCATGTGAAAATTTTTGGAAGAAATACAGAACAGTGTCTCAGTACAACTACACAGAGCAAAGTCCCAGATCTCCTGACACAGGAGTTACCAGTGAAGTGAGAGGATGAGTGAGGTCATCCTTCCCAGATGCACTGGGAAGTCTTCATAGCAGTAGCAAGCTTTAGGACTTAAGAAGCAGTTCTAGGGGGATTAAGTTTGTTGTCCAGTTTAGTTTAGGTTTTAGAAAACAAACAAAAAAAAATGAAAAAAACCAACAACTTAAGCAAAGTGGCAAAAATTTACATTTTTGTCCAGGTGCATTCTTCACCTTATTTTCTATTACCTTGCTTTTACCTGAAAAGATAACTAATTTGAGGATGGCACAGGCTGCTGACACTACCAGATGAAAGCAGTTACTGAGTGTTTCCACACCTCAGCCATGATCACTGCCCAGGAGATCCTGTTTCTGTGAAGGGCACAAGGACTGAGCAGAAGACTCTGCACATGAAGCTCTCAGCTCCTTTGAACAAAACTCCAAAAAACGAGCAAAATCCTCAGAAGATATGAGTGTACAAATGCAGAAAGTTAAATAAAACAATATGGGAAAAATTATCAGAGTAGTACTGCTCTTTTCACTGAGGATTTCTTGTCAAGTAGCAACCAGACAGGCCTGAACAGAAAGCACGTTCAGAAAATGAAATACTGCTTGTACTTCGAAATGCCTGAAGTAAACACTTCCACTGAGGCCAAGAAAAGCCTTGTTATTTCTACTGGCAGAGTAAGCGAGGTATGAAGTCCAAAGAATGCATTACAGTAAGAAATACACATTCCAAGTAGATGTACATAAACCATAGGAAACTGTCCAGTAAATCACTGCAAGCTACTCCCCGTTACTGGCTTTAAGATTTAACTGCTCCCTCAACCATGTTTTAATTACCAATACCATTAGAAAAAACTTAGACAATTTGTTTTCTGCAGGTAAACTTTATGATGCGAGTGCCAACACTATTTCATTAAATCACCATTCAAATGTTGTCTCTTAAAGACAAAAATAAAATTAAAAAATATTAAAAAAATCTGAAAGTTATTACAATCCCAATAATGACTTTTTAAATTTATATCCCAGTCCATTAGCTACTTATTGCCCAGAAATTCTTTCACTTTTTCCCTTCACTACAAAGATAACAAGCCACTACTTCTTTCATGCTATCCTCAATGCCACCTTCTAAGACCTGTTCCCATTCAAAACTTCAGTACAGAACAGAAACAAAACAGCTGCTGGAAACAGCCTGTTAAGAAAAATCAGAATTTCTTTTTAAGTACAAGCCTCACAATCCACATGGTAGAGCTTAGTCTTTACTCTGCCTAAAATTTACTGAGTACAAGCTGAAATATTCATAAAGACACTAAAGACATCATGCTTGGAGCCAAAGAGACAAAATTGCCAAATACTGGATATACACACGTCATGTGTATGTTTTTTCTACAAGAATTCTGTACTGAAATCCAGTCTCAATCACATTATATTTTTTCTACAGAAACACATTTGCATATACAATACAGATATCTGTATTGTCCTTTACAAGGTAAAGCAGTTTTGACTGTTTAGGTCAGAAAATAGGAATTGTAACCATATTAGTTAACTATTAAACTCTATTTGTAATAGAAATTGTTGAACTGATGCATACTTAGTATTTTGTAGGTCTGCTGCTAGAAATCTGAAATATCTAAAGAGTTTTTCTACTTCCCCCAAAATTCTAATTATTCACTTGTACGTTGCATGATTCAAAAATTATTCATTCACCCTCAGTAACAGAGGTAAAGATCTGAAAGGCTTTTGGGGATGGGATCATTTTCAGTAATATTGAGGAAGCCTATAGCAAAGCCACTGATCATTCCAGTGAATTAGAATTTCATCTTTACAGTTTCATGTACCAGAAAAAAAGTCCTGATGTGTCTAAGAAACATGAAAGTGGCATAACAAAGCCACTTTGCCTCCGAAATCACTATGCACCTCTCAGTATTCAAAAGGGGTTTGTTCCAGACAGGAGTATTCTTACCGTTAATGTTGACAGGTCTAACAAGTCTAAATCACAAACACTGCAACCAGTTTCCCGTGTCCAAGCATTAGGAATATAGTTTCCCAAATAATTCAAGTGAATCTGGTAAATAAATGAACAATTCAGATTAATGAAACATGTATGCAAATGGTGATCTGTACCTTTAAACAATTCAGGCTTATTCTTTAATCTCTTGTAACTAAAGGCAACTGACAAGAAACAAACAAAAATAGATGGTAAAAACTTTTTCTTATTCTTTTTCTTTACAAAACAGATTATATATGTACCATAAAGTCTATGAAAATGAGTATTTCATAAAAATGACATTGCACTTGAGGTAAAAAAAATATTTCATGTCAGAAGGTGAGGATAATTTGGTATCCATTTCAAAAAGTTTCTCTAACCAATGCTATTTACTAACCTGCAAATTGGAGAGATTAAATATGAAACAGAAGTATCTTCTAAATAAAAAACTTTGTTTGGAATAAATTCTGGGAATTACTTTCACTCTAGTTTCTTTACTAACTAATTAAAATTTTTTCCAATCCTAGTATACTATTGTCCTCTTAATTCAATTCTAAGTTTAAAAGAGAAGAATCTAACCACATTGACAAAGTGATGCATAGTAAGAGTTTCCTCTTTGTTTTTAAAACCACATCACTACATGCAAAGATTGAGTTTTGTTGAATGTAACATAACTCATGGATTGGTATAAGAAGTTCCATCCTAAACTGTGTGCCCAACTGTAAAACACAGAACTTTTCTTTGGCAATGTGACAGCAAAGCCAGTGATGACAGATAACTTAAGGATTTAATTGAGGCAAAAATAACTGTAGCAATATGGAAGAAATTGGTCAAATATTTCACTACTAGTGAGTAATTATAAGCCGAACAGATAACAACATCATTATATTCACTAATTCCAAAAATGAAAAACAGTGCAAAAACTAAGTAGCAGCCATCTCTGGGATATTAATGAGTTTCAAACCTAATTCTCCTGAAAGCCATTTTTCTGAAAACAAGGAGCTAGCTATGGTAAGGAACACTTATTCAGAAGAACTTAGAAAGTAGCCATGCCCAATCCTTCAGCCACCAGATGCTCCTATAAATGATACACCTTTACACTTCTTTGACACAGAGCAAAAAAATGCAACTGCTATACTTCCAAAACATAGTCATTTCTCTCAGAGAAACTGTGCAAGGTTCTCTGGACCAATGAATCCTTACACATGAACAGAATCTGTCACAACAGCTCTTTCACAGGGCAGAGAGTGCTCTACCGTGAACCCAAAGCTCATGAGCCATGGGCACACTGCAGGCAGTGATCAGTGACACTGAAGGCAACAAAAGCCGCCCACACACATAGAGAATTTTTTTTTTTGCCTGTATTTGATATATGGTTTTATATATGTATATACACACCCAGGTCTCTGGTAGGAATGGATGTGTTACTGTTTTGTATCCCAGACTGTCACTCTTGGTTAGCTTATCTTCCCCCTGAAAATCTCTTCTTCTGATCACAATTTAATAACCATACAGACATTCATCTCTAGCTTCAAGAACTGTTTTGTGTTAGTGAACAAATTAACATAAGCTTACTCTCTCCTAATATCCCATGCTACAATGAATTTGGAAGCAGAACAAGTTGTTTCAGCAGTGAGATCAAGTTACAGTGACAGCAGAATAACATGATTGAGAGAGCTATTAGAATAGGGGTTTTATCCTTGCAATTCCTAATATTAAATGGAAATGTGTAGTGGTGGTTGCTATGACAACTGCAGACACATCTACCACTGTTTGTTTGGTTTTTTTTACTTATGTTAGAATTGTGGTTTTGCAAGAAAATAAACTACCACTCACTTTAGTTGGACCATTTCCATGAATGGTGACTGGTAGTGTGTCATACACTGAATTCCTTGCTCTTACTTTTCCTTCTTCAAATTTCAAAAGGACTTCATCTGCAAATCAAAGCCATACAGTAATAAATTCATAAATAAAAGCTAAAATTTCAGAGTTCTTTAAGTCGTTGCTGATACAATATACCTTGCTGTTGCTATCATTATCAGTGTTACTTATTTGGAAGCTTTTGTTCATTTTTTTTTTTTAATTAGATCTTGAATTCTAAGCTCTTTATGCTAAATAAGGTGACAAAACCTCAGAGTTTGTCATCAACAGCCTTCAGTATTGGAATAAAATCTGCTTAAAAAATAATTCTAATTTAGTGCAAATGCTATTTATAGAGAAATCATAGTTGTTTCAGACGTGATCTGACTACAAAAAGTTGTTCCATAATTGGAGGTTAAATGTAAGAAAAGAAGTTTGCACAGATGCATTTTTCTATTTAAATTCATGACATTTGAGTAAAGGAAATTCTACATTATTCCACATTGCATTTCATTATGTATAGCCATTTGCTTGAGAACATCTAAAATACAATTTTAATTACCTATCTTACTCCTGTAATTAAGTTTGTGAAAGTTTATGAAAATTTTTCTTAACTCCATATTTACTGCTAACTTAATTTATTAAAAAACTATTTCTCTATTTTAAATCAAATATCTTATCAACATGAGACATCAATTAATTAATTAATATTCAACTGAAAAGACCTGTAACTAATCTATTAATCAGGTCTATCCATCCAAATATTTCTTTAAAAGAAGCATATGTTTAGGGAACTACATTCATTGTTAAGCAAAGAAAGTGTTAATAACAGTTAATAAAACACACAATGTGCAAATCATACACTTACCAACAGCTCCATTTAGGGTCTGGAAAATTGTACATTTGTGGTCCAAAGTAATGTTAATGCGTTCCTGAAATAAAAGTACCAAAGATGTTGAGGCATTCTAAAAGCCAATATTTTTACAGTAATGTTGCAATTATACCACAGTGGCAGCAAATAATCAGGCAAAACTACACTACATGTTCAGCTCTTAAATACAATTCCTTATTTTATATTGAATTCCAGAGTTGTGCAGCTATATAACCATCAGTTTTATATATGCAAAAACTTTAAAGCCAAAGGATAAAGGTCATAACTCTCCAAACAAAGAGCAATTTAGCAGTATAAGCCAAAGCAAATCTGTGTCTCAAGAAAATTAGCAAGTCTTGGTCAAGCAACAAGACATACTGTGTTTCGCAGTTTCAAAAATACAAAAGTCAATTTTAAGTATCATGTCAGAATAGAAAACACTAGCGGTTTTAAAACATTTTTCTAATGTTGTATTATTAATCCTACCTCAATTCTTACTTTGAGTACCATGTTTTACCATTTTTAAAAAGTTAATCAAAGTAGATAACCTTTAAAACACAGTTAAAAACCCTTATACAGACAGCACACTTTGCTTTGGTCTTCCAAAATTTTCTCACGTATTCTACAGCATTGGGCATCATCATATAAAGCAGCAGTAGCAATGCACAGTAAGCACCATGGAGGTGTTTTGAATCATGGTGCAATAGTGCCTTGCACAGAGATACAAATTTCTTGTCTGGAAGACAATCTGTTTAGACAACTAATTATATTACTTCTGACTTTGGTGCAGAGTCAGCTTTAATGTCTCTACACCCTGTCTTTTCAATTGCATACCTGGCATCTGACTTCACTTCCATGAAATCAATTTGAACATTAAAGGCTGGAAGGAACATCCTATGAGGAGCTGCTGAGGACTCCAGGTTTGTCTAGTTTGGAGGAGGTGGTTGAGGGGCCAGCTCCTTGCTCTCTACAGCTTCCTGAGGAGGGGAAGGGGAGAGGGAGGTGCTGAGCTGCTGGGAATGGTTCAAAGCTGCACCAGAGGAGCTTCAGACTGGACATCAGGAAGCATTTCTTTATGAAGAGGGTGGTAAAACCCTGGATCAGGGTCTCTAGAGAGGTTGTCAATGCCCCCAGCCTGTCAAGTGTTTAAGAGGCAGTTGGACAATGACCTTAACAACATGCTTTAGCTTTTGGTGAGTCCTGTACTAGTCAGCCAGTTGGACTAGATGGTCACTGTATGTCCCTTCTAACAGAAATATTCTATTCTATTTCTGAACCTGCATCCAAATAGACATGATTTTCCATTAAGTTATGCCAGGAAAAACGTGTATATATTTCAAAAACTTTGCATCTGCCTTAAGCATACAAATTATCAAAATCATTTTCAAAATTCTGTTTTATCAGCTTCTAAAAGTCTTTTTGCATCAATACACTGCTAACTTTCCTTAGCTCTCTTCTTCCAGCACCAGGGACATGCCTCTGACATCTATCATGCTTTAATGCTGCTACTCAGCAGAGAACTTTGTTAAGCTAGGGCACAAAGAGGTCTTCACCAAAAATTTACGATGCAGCTGTATTGAACATATTTGCACAAAAAGCTGAAGGCAGGATCTGAAATGGCAGCAAGCCAAAGTATAAAACACTGGATCAGCAAGTAGTTCAGTGACACCCTGGAAAAATGCCACATTCTCTGGCCATCAAACTGCCAAGTACATGGGACCCTCATTGAGATGAATGTGTCTGATCATATACCTCAGAGCTATTATTTCTAACAGTGAAGCTCAACCTGACTGGATCAGGAGACAGCCTGAAATAATATATCAAGTCATGACCCTTTGGAAGGCTGTTCATCATTCCTGCAGTAGGAACCTCAGGAGAGCAAACACAACTGTCAATATGGCACTCCAGAACAAAGAGACAGCATTCCTTTTCTTTTTATCTCTTGGTGTTTTAGGAGGAGTAGCATGTTATTTCAAGCAGAAAGAAATGAGAAAGCCATTCACTACCTACCCTTGCCAACGGGTCAACATAGATTTTGGTGTAAAACAGCTGGTCATCATCATTATCCTGCAGATTCCATTGCTGCACAATACGATTTACATATGGAGCATAACCAATAAATCCTGCAAAATCACACACACAGAAGTTATTTCCATAAAAAGCACTACCCTGCCAATGCTGTCTACCAGTCAGGGACTTCATTCTGACTGGTGCCAGCAAAGGAAAAGTATGAAATTCATACAACTTGGCTCAGAATCCAGTTTTCTTCCTGTGATACGTAACAGTTCTGCTTCAAAGAGTTCATAATTAATGGTTACTTTTATACCCATGGTATTTTAAGGGAAAAATTAAAACAGATCTGTTTAGGATGGTCCTGAGAACACCAAAGAGATCAGACTACCACTTTTCCCAAGAAGCCCATCTGTGGAAAAAGTTCGATATTCATCAATCACTTCTTATTGGCAGAGATGCCTGAATGTAATACTGCCAGAAATATAAAAAGAATTCAACTCGAAACCAATATATATTATTTTTAAGCCAAAATAAAAAAAAAGATAGTGCAGATAGGTGAGGTAAAGGAGGAGGTAAAGAAACAGGGACACTCCCAGACCTGCACACTGCCCAACTCCATGTACTTAGAAGTGACATTCTGTGCTCTGCAGCAGTTATAGAGTATCAGTGTCAGTGTATGTATTACTCAACTCCAAAATTATTACCAAAACTGGCATTTAAATGAGGATTCCAGAATTAACCCATCATTGAGATTAACAGGAGTAACTCCCACTCCTTTTGGAATGAGCCATGTCAGCCATGCTGACAGGCTGGGCAGAGCTACCAGCTCATCTCCCCTGGATGCAGAGATCCACAAGAACAAGGCAGCCAAGTCAGGAAATTCTGACCCAGCTAAACTGTACCTATAAATAATAACGTGATGCTTTGACTGGGCTTGAACACTACATTGTTTCTGAAGCAATTGGGTCATCTCTGCCCAGCATTTCCTTGCAATGCACAGTTGGTTGCTAAGCTGTCACTTTATTTACCTGCTTTTTAAAAGTTATTGCCAAGCAAACTATGCCAATTCAAATGAAAACTATGCTTAAGCACAGAAGAGCAGCTATTGAAGTGGGAAGGAGAGGGGAAGAAGAGGACAGCAAACTCAGTCCTCAATATTATACTTGAGGAATTCAGGAACAGTTCCACATACAAATACATACAACAGATAACAGAGATGAGTCATGTTCAAGTCCAAGGGTTTAATGGGTTCACAAGAGGATCACACTTGCCTCCTGAGTTCAGGAATCGTTTTCCACTCCGGACAACAGGATACTTGTCAGCTAGCCTTTTATCTGGCCAAATTAGTCCATCTGCTGCAAACACCACTTTATGATTACTTTCCTGAAATTTCTTTAGGAGCTCTTCAGGGCCCCCTGCAAAGATAACATCATAGCTGAAAAGTAAAGAAAATACATCCATTAGATTAGTTTAATTTTAATGCTTCTATGTTGAAAACCAAAAATCATTGGACTATTCAAATTTTAAATATCAAACAGCCCTTTTATTCTGAAAAATGACTCAATGAAATTATGTTTTATCACCATGTAAAAAATTTTATACCCTTCTAGGAGAAAAATTTCAATCAACACTATTTATCCAATACAATTTCCCCTTCTGCTTTTTAACCACCCACATTTTGGACATTCTTTTTTCTTCAGGTTTTGTCTGCCTGAAATCGATTTGCCTATTTCAGGTATTTTGAGAAAAAAAATTCCCTTTAGAAAACTGTTTATGTTTTTAAGAACAGCAATTAAAAAAAATCAAAACAGATGAAAGTAAGACTGAAAGATGATTTAGGTGACTTTCACTGGGAAACTCTAGATGACCTTGTTCCAAAACACAATAGCACTGACTCTTCAGAAAAGTATTATTAAGAATGTATTTAGAACTCAATAAAGTCTAGTTGCACATAAACTGTGTTGCTTCCTGACAATACACAGATTTCTCCATAAGCCTCTTTAATGTGCTGAAGACCTTAAAAAGCTCTAAATGTCACAACATGTATTTATGAAAAACTTCACCTGCCTTTACGTGTTGATCAGATTTGAGTCTCAATTCCTATTGAGAACAAAGACCTAAAAGTGGAGGGCTCATCTTTGGCAGTTACCCACAGCCAAAGATCAACACTACCCCAAAACAGAAAGAAATCTGGATGGAGTTGGCAAAGGTCATGTAAGAATGTGGTATCACGAGCTTAGTGGTTTCTTGTTGTTGAACCATATCTAAACCAATGTCTCAGAGGGGAGGCGTGGAGCACAGCCAATCAAACCAAACAAACAAAACCACACACAGAAACCAAACCAAAACCTCAAAATACATATAAAGTATTAAAATATTCACAGTATACGGTTTCTTTTTTGTACTTGAGATCCACATATAAAAGCATTATTCATAGAATGGTTTGGGTCAGAAGGGACTTTAAAGACCATTTATTTCCAGTCCCCCCCCCACAGGCAGGGATGCCACTCACTAGCCCACTTTGCTCAAAGGCCCATCCAACCTGGCCTAGAACACTGCCAGGGATGGAGCATCCACATTTCCCTGGGTAACCTGTGCCAGTGCCTCCCAGTTCAAGGTTCACTTAACACAGCATGAAGAATGACACAGTAAAATTGGAATCACATCACAGATTAGTCTCTGGCTGAAGAAGAACAATATTTTAAGTTAATGGCAGCATCTCAGCCTCAAAGTTTCCTCATCTAAATACAGGTATATTCTTATTCCACACATATAACTTAGTAACTGAAAGTCATCAGCCCTGATAATGGGCAAAGGAATGGTACAGCTGCCAAAAATCAAGGTCTAACCTTGACCAAGATGTTTTTCTTGCAAAGTCTTTTAGCTTCAGCAGCTTTCAGCTTGCAGGGCACAGAACTTTCTGCATTGCAATGTATTATTACATAGCAATAGTGCCAACAGATCAACCATTACTGACTTATAATACTCCTTTATTATAGTTCTGAAATTATTAAAGATGTCTTTAATTCAAAAAGGATTTCATGAAATTGGCCTAAGAGAAGTAACAACAGCTGGCTTGCAAATGCAAAAGATTTTTACCGCAAAGCAAAGTATGAACCCTGGAGAGGAAGTGTGTTATGTAGTCTATATAAGTAAGTGGGTTTCTGAAAACTCTCACTGTTATGTTTTTCTGTAACTTTGGCAGAAGAATGCTGGAAAGAAATAGTGTACATTTTGGAGCTTCCCCAGTTTTGCAAAAAATGCCTGTTTCTGCCCAAATATACAGGAATACACTTCACTCTCTTTTCCATTTGATTTCTGTAGCCCGATTGAATGCCAGAATGAGCCTGTAGAACATGCAAGAAACAGGAGACAAGTTGAAGGCAGACAAAAAGAGATTTGTCTGAGGCTTCAACTTAATAGCTTATGGCAGGCTGTGCTTCTCCTCTTTGATCAGGTTAGTGCTGCTGCTGCTATGACTTACAGCTGCAGGAAGGAACCAAATAGCCCTGGAACATTGCTTCCTAGGACTGTCATTCTGTAAAAGAAAGCCAAAGTTGAGCAACATGCTGGGCCAGCCACAGGCTCTGTTTGTGAAAGGGATATGCTACTTAATACAGTACAGTTTATAATCCAAAGCACAGCACTGAGCTGCTAAACTGCAATGGATATTATGCAGGAGTATTAATCCAGCATGAACCTACATTTTCCATTAATGTCCAAGGCACTTTGTTTTATCAAGAGGTGATTTACTGCCACCACACCTCTTCCTGGGCAGGACCTCCACCAGCCTTCTGCCCCTTGCTGCCAATGTCCTCATCAGCTGCTTTATGAGGCTCCCACTTTTCTCTCCAGGCAACAGGGAAACTCCTGGAGTCAAATGAAAACCTATAAATGCATCATTTTTCTTATTTACCTGCTATGTCAGATTACATTTGGCCTATCCAGCACTCAACTCCTACTGTAAGGGAAGATTCACCTCAGGTCTACACCACTAAGACCACCATAAAACAGGTCCCAGGACTATTCTTTACAGTTTATGCCGTTATTAAGGGTGATGCACATGGCTTGCTTTAAACAGGACTTCAAAATTTGACAGGGAAGAGTGTGGATATATCCAGGAAAAAGCAGGCTTCCCTGGCAAGCAGAAAAAAGCTCAGATACTCTTATTTATTCTTCATAATTCCTTCTGATTCCTTCTGAAAGCAAGGGGAAAAAAAGAACCCAAAAAGTTTCCACAACCCAATCCTGTTTCCTGAAGCTCCCAGATGGCAGTTGCTTGGGACTGGAATCTACCCATGTCTCCTCCTCTTTTGCAGCAGCAAAGCATCCTGGCTGTGCACCCGGCAACACGGGAAACAGCAACGGTGACTTGGGTCCTCTAAAACTGACCATGCAATTTTTGCATCCACAACTTTTGTAACAATGAGAACTTGTTACTATTGGAGCTGCAGGTTAAGAGCTCAAAATACAAATGAGAGAGGGCCCACCAGTGACTAGCAATTCAGGTCCCCTATCTCATCTATCTTAGCTGCATTGTGCAGCCACACAGCTATTTTGTCATTTACACTGTATCCCCACCAGGATCACACCTTAAACATTTTGAGATATGTTTATCCCTTAAACTGTTAAAATTTAACATTTTGACAAATGTTTGGAAAAAAGCCCCCACAAAACAAAACAACAAAACAAACAACAAACTGAGAGGCTTCAAAACTCTTCCATGATACAAAGAGATGGCTGTGGGAATTCTGGATGAACAGTCACAGCATCAACCAATTTATCCAGTCTATACTGGCCATTAGCCAGTTCAATCTGAAATGGTCCAAAATAAACCAGTAGTTAGCTCAAGCGAAAAAAAAGCCTCATTTAAATGAGGTTCCCTCTGCAGACATTTTTCTATGTACACCTAGACATGAATTGTCAACAAAAGAAGCTCAAATTATTTCCAGCATTCTGAGCTATTTAAAAAACTGATCAAAAATAAAAAACCCAAGAAACTAAGTTTAAGTAAACAGTTCTCTAGAAATTTTTTGCCTAGTTACAGTAAGCAAACCAGACATTTCCTTTCCCCACCCCCAAGATTAATATTCCAAATGCTTCACAATGAATATAATAAGAAACACTTGAAGAAGAAAGGAAGTTCATGACACTTGTCTTTTCCAAACTTACTGCTATACTGATCAACACTTAAATTGCAAACCGGGATTTTTGGAAACGAAAAAGCTCATTAGAATTAAAATATAATGCTAGAATCAGCAAACTATTTTTTTCTTGTATCTGGAAACAGTTCCACCAGTTTTAAATATATATGTACTTGGGATTACAGATCTTGAGAATTTGGGATTACAGATCTTGAGAACTTGGGAGGCCTTAAATCCTGTGATTTTTCATGGCAAGAAAGATTATTGCCTTTGCACTTTGACACACATGGTCCTCTGTACTCTCTCCTCCACGCCAGCAGACAGCCTGCCCCTCAAGAGAATAAACTATGCTGGAGAGGAATTTGAGCTATACCCTGATGGCAATCTGATAACAAATTTGCATATTTTACTATATAGGAAGAAAATAGTGATGAATCAGGATAATAAATCTGAAAACAAAGAAATTAAATATAAATTGAAAACATTTGGGAAACGTTTGATTCATCTGAGCTTTAGTAAAAAATAAAATCTTCCAAATTAATCTCTTAAAGTTTCAGCTATTGTATGGTTAGTAGGATAACATTATGAACAAACATGTAATATATTTACTTTTAGAAAGATCCTTTTTCCACTTAGCAAATGCAAAATTGATCAAGTCAATAACAAAAAACATTCACAACCCGAATGTCTACCTTCAAACTATGTTACCTTTACAGTCAACTAGGCATACAAAGAAGATCTTCATCAAAAGTGTCCCTTATAATGTTTATTTATAAATTGCTGAAGATGATTTAGATTTTTGGCTTTCTAGGTCTATCTTCAACTCATCACAAGGGATAGAATTAGAACAAAAAAGTTGAATAACATCTTTGAATTTGCTACCAGTTCCATAGGCTACTCCAACTTTCCTGAAGTGATAACTTCAGCAAAAGAACAAATTAACTTTCCATAAAATGCTACTGTCCAACCACTTCCTGTCTTGTGATGATGTCTGCTGTACAAATACTATCAAAACTCTACCTCAAAAAAGTGTCCCTAAAATTCCTCTGCTGTCAAATTTGAATAAATAAATAAATAGAACAAGTTAAAAGCTGAAAGACAATTCCGGAGCAGACATTCCAATATGACTTGGTAACAGCAGCGTGAACTCATGCATGCACCTCTCCAAGCTTGCACTCTCCAAGCTGAGCCTCTCCAAGGCTGCCAGTCTGCAATCAGAGCTTCTTTGTCCCTGATTCAAGGCTTGGTTCCATGCCTTCCTTGCAGAGATTAAAGCTGTGACCCTGCTCTGGTTAACTTTAGTGTGGAAGAGCTTGGTAGTTACTCTAAGTTGTATTCTTAGCTACCGTGATCATGCTGTTGTCACAGAAGCAAAATAAGAGGAGGAGGAGAAGAAAAAAGCAGAGGGAAGCAATGGAAAAAGTGTGATTCGAACATGTTTGAGCTCCATGTTTTCTGTGACAAGGAGAAACCTATCTGGCCTCCAGGGAGGATGTTCAAGCATAGCTGTGCTATGAGCTATAATCTGGCACCTGCAGACAGCAGTACTGTCTCTCCATCCTTCTATCACACAGACAGGACAGGTACAACTGGCACCAAGTCTCTTGTCTTGGTACTCTAACATGTAAAAGCAGTTCTCCTGTTAAATGATTTCCTCAGGGACTCATTTTCCAGCTTCCTCCATGTCACTATAACTTCATGGAACAAGATTATGCCTCTAGTCCCTACTGGCCACTTTATTTCTGGAGCTGCTTTTGCTCCCCCTCCCATTCACACTCCCAGCCTGCAGCCACATCCTGCTCTCACCACAGCTGAACAAGGAGAGGACAAATGCTTCCCTAAAAGCCTGTCAGCTCTCAATAACATTTTTTTACCCCCTTGAGGCAGTAGAACTATGAACAAATCTTACATCTGTAAATCTGTTAAAAAAGTAATGATTGCTCCAAAAGCAATCTACTATTTTTATGAATGAAGAAAAATAGAAGCAAACTCTCTCAAATAAAACAGCGAGGAGGAAAAGCAGTGTGCAACTTTCAGCATGTCACAGCAGCTACTTTTGCACGCCTGCCCAGACTAAAATATAAAGACAAGAAGACAGGTTTGCTCACCATTCAACAAACAATACAACCAAGTCCTCTTGATCAGCATAGCTTTCTATGCCTTCTTTCAGCAATCGAACTTTCTGCCCTCCACCAATAGAGTTAGGCAGCTCACCACCTTTCCACTCTTCACCTTTTCCAAGAACCTGGAACAAGAAAAAAGAAAAGCACTTTTTGCTAGTACCCAAAACCATGAGGCTTTTTTAAAGCAGGCCCTTATTAAAAACAGATGCTAAAGCAGAAGCAACACACTAAGGCATAGCAAGCCATCATTTCCAGCATGGTAAGTTTTCCATGTCTGAAGCAGCATTCAGCACAATGACATCACTGCAAAAACATGAGAGAGACATTTTTTAACCAAATAAGAATCGAGCAATTGCCTGCTACTGACATTTATTTCAATGTGCCTCCTTCAGAAAGAAAAAAGGCAAGAATTGTACCAAAATTTCTTTTAGAAAAACATCCTGAATGAGACCTTTAAAAATCAATAGAATCACTTTAGGAACAGGAGGCTCAAGAGACTTTGGTGGATCAGGGTATAACTAATTCAAATTGCAAGCTCCAGTCTTTTTGCACAAAAAGGGAAGGACAGGTTCCCCACTATACAGCTCACTGCTAAAAATCAGATAAACAAAAAATTCCTCCCAAGCCAAGCGCTATAGCAGATTACCTGTCAAAAAAAAGAAAAAAAATAAACTCTTACTGGGTTTTGAACATAATGTTTTTGAAACATATAAAGGCTGGAAGAACTATGTTGCATGATGTTTCACACAAATCTGCAAAGCTAAGAGACCTATCCAGAGCTCAGGCTTCCCGGGTGGAAGTCAAACTTCAGAGACCCAAATAATTTCCTATTTATAGTGCAGGCACTGTGGTAAGTAAGCTGAAAAATTTCATAACACCGTATGAATTCCTGGATTTTCTCTTGGCAGAACCAATTTGTGGGGAAAGTTTAGAAGGTTGGTGCCCTCCCTTTTCCCAAGGTCACGCAGAGGCCAGCCTAAGAACGTGACATACGGAGGCATGGAGCAAGGCAGAAAAGGCTGGTAAGAATTACAGAAATGCACTGTCCTCTCAGAATTAGAGGTTCCTGGAAAACACAGTGAAATTTTCAGTTGTGACCCTCCCTCCTTCCTTGCAGCAGGGATCCAGCCTTTCTTGAGGAAGGAGATCCAAGCCCTATGAGTACAGTACAGCTTCCAGAAGTATTCATGCAAACAAAATCAGCCACACTGAAAAACAAGGCTATATGATAAATCATGACAGAACCGGTGAGTGACTGAGGATGCTGACCACAAGGGCTACAAATCTGTAAAGCAGCTCCCTCCCATGATGCTTCAGAGGGGAACCAGCAGATAAGCAACAGGGAGAGCAGCAAGTGCCCTTCCTGCCCCCAAGCTCTGCAACTATTTTACTTTGTCCCAGCACACGAGAAAGCTCAGACAAGGTCAGTTACTCTTTACTGGTTCTGTTTTACAGCATGTACAGTACGAATATTTGGTACAAAACATGCAATACCTTCACTGTGTAGTTGAAGTGCTTTGCAGTTTGCATGAAACGGTGAAAGCCGTCGGTTTCTTTAGTTGCTACAGTAAAGACTAGTAGTTTATCTGAGGGAGAAAAATAAGGAACATGTATTAATACGTTTTCAGGGCACAGTTTATAAGAAAAAATACACGGAACAGAACTGGATCAGAGGGCTTTATGACCTGCCTGTATCTCATTCAAATAGAGGAGGAAAATACACTGTCATATTCTAGGCTTGAAACATCACCAAACAAGAACTGCTATGGACAAGGATGCTGTATCTAAAATTATCCTCAGGGAGAAGAAGCAAGTAAACCCATCTACTCTGTAAATAACTAGATCAAGACAAATACAAAGCTAGTATGACTACTGGACAGGAAGGAATCTTCAAAGCAAAAATAACTTACTAGTTTTCAGTCTGAGCTAATTCTGTGACCTCTTACCACAGGACTGAATGGTGCCAGAGAACTTCACCCATCCTCAGAAACTCCCCTGAAAGCCAGTGGTTCATACTCCTCATGAAAACAAGACAAAAAAACCAGCCATGGAAATCGGTCCCCCAAAGGACAGCATTTAGTGCTTTTAAGTCCTTGGGCAGAGACAAAAGGGCAGGGGTTTGCTTGGTTGGTTTTTTTATTCAGAGCCTATGCACATTATAGCAGTGGTAATTTTGTCCTCTTACTGCATGCAGGCAAATGACCATGCAACCCATTTCCTCTTCGCATTCCAGAGCTTTTAACACAGTTCGAATAGGGTCACAAAATCCCACTAAACAGCTTCCCAATTAAACTACTAAACGACATTTAGAACCCTATGCATTACGCTGAATAATCAAACTATGCAATTCAAAGCTACGAGGAGGACAGGACCCCTATCCAAAATCAAGTATTTAATCAGACCAGCCAGGATGCCAGAGAACACTGCAGTTCCCCAATTCAGTCCAAGTGCAAGCAGCAGCTGCCCTCTAAGCAGAGCCCATAAGATCAATCCTCACAAGAAAATAAAATCAATCTCCTACAAATAGCATTCCAGACACAGTGCTTGTTGCTGCTTCACTTTCTCAAAAAACATCCTCTGGATTTATCTTCACCAGCCCAGTAACGTGCTAGAAGTGGCTACTATGGAAAACATTCCTATTAACCCTTCAGCCTTGCCCACCACCGCAGGCTTAGCAGCCTTCAGACACTCCAGACATCATCCTAAGTTTATTAAAATCATTCACCACTTGCCATTTTGTTCTATGTGACACCAGCAAAATTAACACACGAGATGATAATCCACTTCTCACTTTGTGGAAGAAATGCACCTTGCAAATTACTCATGTGATGCTCTGCAACCCCGTACCAGGATACTTCAAGTGTACCTCTGCTCAGTCAAGCAAAAATATCTGTCAGAGCACACAGTCTGTAGAGAAACATAAAACCCCTTGTAATGAAATTCAAGTCTGTCTGAACCAGCAGTCAAACTATGGAGATTAGTCTCAGGAGCCGCCAGGACTGTTTCCACTGAAATAAAGCTGAGATTCAGCCCTGGTCAACAGATCACTTCCAAGAACACTCCTACCAGGCCTGGCTAGTCCATCCTCAACTGCAGCTGTAATGGTGTATGTGAGGGATAAGATAACCACATATGATGCTTTCTCTGCCTTTTCTTTTTTTCTTGTCTCTAAGGGTTTTCCTGACTTAGATGGTATTTCTGTACATTCCAAAACACTCAATCTGCTTTGAGACCTTGCTCTTACCTAGTCACTCCTTGATGCAACCTTTAAGCAGTGACAACACCGTGTACCCGGTACCTACAGTTTTATCTGACACTGCCCAAGTTCATCAACTGCAGACAACATTTCTACCTGCCCTCCCCACCACACACAGTTTCATAGATTTCTCTCACATCCTGAAACCACTTTTTCTTTTTCAAGTGGGAGTGAGGGAACAGGTGACAACGTACAATCCATTTCCTCAACAGTCCCAGTGACAATTTTAACTGCTGGTTCTACTGAACCAGACTGACACTCCTGCAATACAATGCATAGCAAAGAAGAAACTAGAAATAAATACTTTAAATGCTTCAATCAATTCGAACATCCAAAAATTTGGGTAAGACAGAATTGGAAGATAAATTGCTCCATCTTTATCCCACTTAAGTGTTAGTAGCCTTTTGTAGGCAAGAATAAGAAAACCCCACAAGTACATCTCAAAAGGACAGGAGGACATCCACAGAGGATTCCAATGCAAGGTGTTCACAGACATACTGACTCACAGAGAGACACAAACACAGCAATTATGGTTCAATACCTTCAAAATCATTTATTCTAAAGGTCATGCAATTTAAAGTAATTCTACAGAAGCCACCACAGAAAGAATAAAGAACATGATATCTTAGATTATGACTAAAACAGAACAGAAGACAGAGGATAGGGTTTTCCTCTATGGAACAGATTAAATTATGACTTTTTTTTGTTGTTCAAGCACTACATTTTCAAATTACAGGGAACTGGAAAAATCTGATCATACCAGACTGCATTACCAAGCCAAGAGAATCCATTATTAAAAGTTTCCTAGGTGAGCAATCAAGCACTGACTAGAACTACGGAATTTGGTTTGGAGTGGGCATATTTCACACCTACACCTTCCTGAGGAATGCTAGCAACAAGGATTTCAAAGATCTGTACTTGACAACATCATGTAAATTACAAAATGTGGGCTGTACCAGATTCCCTCCCTAGTCACTAAGTCAAAAAAAGTATTAAAGTAACATACAAGTACAGTTTGGCAAGCAAAAAATAATCTACTGTCCTTTATGGGATATTGTTACTCTCTCTTAATGGAATACACATTATTCATGTATTTCAAGAATCACTATGGGGCCTGGTATGTTACTTGACTTTTGTGGAACAGGAGGAAAGAGAACAATGTGCCAAAGCATAAGGGATTTCAACCTGAGCTATATAAAAAGAAGAAAGCTGAGCAGACAAATAATGCAGTTTATATTGACATGAAAAAGGAAAAGAACCTGTATTGCACTGGCAGCCAATGAAGAAATCTAAGTAGGCTGTCTGAGTCAGGTTTGCAAACAGACACAGTACAAAAGAAAGCTATTTTTAAAGTTATTATTCATGTTGAAAATGTTTTTGTTTTTAACATACTCGCCTATGGTCAATTTTTTTAAATTACAGATTAAAAGGCTTAAAAGACTTTATTTTCATGTCTTTGTTGCACCCCTGACTTTTAGATGCATGTGGTACTTAAATAATTTTTAAGTGCAGCAGAAGTGTAATTATAGGATTTAAAGTCCCTTTAGAATTAGAGATTCTTTATAGATTACTTAGGCTTTGTTGTTTTGTGGGGTTTTTTTGTTTGTTTGCATTTGTTTAGTTTGTGGTGGTTTGTTTGGGTTTTTTGAAGTAAGCTGTGTCTGACCAAAGTGCAGAGAAACATGTTTTTATTCTATATATAGTGTGTATGGAGAGACAATGCAAAGTGCATTAAATGAGAGTTACCTTGGCACATTATAGAGGGTATTATTATCAAATGAGGAAAGCAGAACTATTTTCCTCTAGCTAATAAAAATCATTAATCTAATTCCTGTAGGCTGCTGTGATTTTATTTAGATTTAAGTGACAACTTGTACAGTTTCACTGGCACACTTCTACTAAAGTAGAGTCTTGGGAGACACTTGTTTCTTCCAGTGGAAGCGAGTGAAGAGAATGCTTCTGACCACTGAATACTTCTGGTAATTTCTTTTTAACCTTTTAACTGCATTCAGTTTGAAAAATCTATTCCTTGCTCACTACATTTAGGTCCAACAACCTCTTAGAACACTTGTCCCATTTTTGTTTAGCAACATGAATCCAAAGTGACTTTCACGACGGCACAGGAGCGTCAAAGTGCAAGTACAACACTCCCAAGGGAGTAAGTTTATCCAAGCGCTGTTTCCATTTCAGGATGTGCTGAGCTACATCTATTTCAGCTGCAGCCACCCGCAGTGTCCCTGCTGTGCAGAGCACGTCTGGCCCCACGACAAGCCCTGTCAGTGCAGAGGTTCAGGGCTGTACCAGAGCCCTCCCACACAGAGGTTGAGTGACCAGCCCAGTGTCCCCAGCAGCATCACTGTACCAGCTCCAGGGCTCCAACAGGGTGCAATGAAGACCAGGTGTAGCAGTGGAAAGATGCCTGCAATTACACAGACCCCAGGCTACTACTGTGGCCCGGAACTCCCCAGTCAGAGTGCCACAAAAACCCCACAAGGATTTCTAGCTGCAGCTAGTTCCTGCTTCGCCATCCACTTTGCACAAACCCCTGCCCTCCACTGAGGTGTTCACCCTAAAGGAGCTCTGCTGTGTGGTCTTACATATAGGCTTGAGCTCTACAGTTTAAGTCTGACTATCCCCTACACACAAGGGGATGAATATACACTCTCAGTAATATCTTCCCACAGTAACAGCATCCCCAAAGTGCAAACACATATGAAAACAAGAACACAGCAGGTGGTCACATTCCTCCCCACTCACATTCCTCTGAACTGGGATGCCACAGAGGGTACAGGCTGCCTGGAAGGGCTGGGCTACCCCAGCACACAGGCTGCCAGAGGCATCTTGGCAGTCACTGGAGGGGATTACCAAGCTTGGTATTTATTTCCACAAGTCAAGTCAGTTTGTGTAAAAAGGAAATGCAAACCCTATACTGAAGTTCAACAGGAAGACATGAAAAAAAATCTCCTCAGAGCTCCATGCCAGGTATGAGGGTGCTTAAGTTACTAGAATGCAATTTTTTTCAGGCAGATTTCCAATAGTTACACCCACAAAACAGCTGTTCTGTTTTGAAAACAAGCCTGAGAGAGCATGTGTTTGGCCAAGGAAAGTATATCCAGTGACATACAGAACTCATTTTTATATGCAAATTCAGAAACCCTTCAGCACAGACAACACCACATATAGAGCACATGCAGTGCATTAGGAAATCCAGTGAAGGTTTATCAAAACATCTGACTCTTCTACC